CTATTTAGGTTGAGATATTTCTCGCTTAAATCCTGAGGTGGTATTATTATCCTCAACATTTATTATGGGCCTTTGAGATTTAATATTATAAATTGGGCCTAGCCCAATTATTCTAACATATGAGCTAATCTTTTATAAATATTTCTCATAGTATTATAATTTTATTAGATATTAACCACGAGAGAGCGATGTGGTATCTCAAATCGGTCAAGGGGCTGCTTTTGATGCCACGGATCGATTAGACAGAGAAGAAAAAGTATGATCTCCAATTCACTTTGGAGATACTGCCAATTGCTAACACGTCAGTTCATGCGTTTGCATTTGCCACCGTATATAGACTTCAAAGTGACGGGATCAAAGAAGTCTTTGTTTGTAGGGAAACACTTTGTTTCGTATGTGCGACACTGTTTTTTCCCCCTGTCTTTTGCATGAGCTCGTGCGTGGAATTAACGTACGAACGAAATTCATGGACTCCTGGATTTCATACGAAAGGAAGAAAAATCCTGATCAAAAGACATAGTACCAATAATGATCAATATATTCAGGAAAACGACTAGACATATCCACTTTTTCGGAAGCAGTCATAGAAGACTGGGGCATGCTGAAATTTCTGCTACGTATACGTACTAAGTTTTCTCATAGGAAAAATATGCCGTCATATATAGTACTAGCATATATGCATTGCATGTTCTATTTTCTCTGTTAGTTATATATGGTCAATATCCGCTGGTCACGTTAATAATGCGAAAACTGCTGACATCTGCGTTCATTGACCAGCTAATCTCCTTTGTGCGTAGAAACGGAAAAAGACGTGTCAAGCTTGTTAAATATATATAAACGCACGCATAATTGCATACACAAAGTCAGAGAGATATAGGAGTATATGCCTTCCAAGGATTAAAGGTCTTTTTTATGTCATCAACACCTAGACAACATACTATAAACAGCTAATCACTTGTTGTCTTCTGGGGACGTTGAGAAAAACGATATAATGACATCATATCATACGATTGACGCGACATGTCAGTTAATTGTACTTTATACTACTCAATATGATCTCATTATATTGCTTGCCCTCTGGTAGACAAAATCCGATCGCTTTAGTAAGTTGTGTCGTCTAGAATGAACAGTGAAATGTACGTGAACTTTAACGTACGAACCGTGAGTAGTTATCGGAAAAAAATCTTCGGTTGGTTCAGGATTTGATTCCATTCAATTCGTCAGCACGAACAATGGCACGGTTTGTTGTTGTTTTTTTCCATTCGATCAGAGGCTGGCTGGCTTGGGTTACGCTTCATTAAGCTCCAGTGTTGTCAATTGGGTCGTCCCGTCAATCCCGTTCCCACGCCACCAACCTAGCCCACGTAAACCTACACCCAAAGAAAAAAGAAACGAGTCTACACGGCAATAATTCTCGCGCCACCCACGCAAAAAAGCATAGCCTAGCTCGCCCCCCCTCGCACATGGCCGCGCCACCCTCGCCGGGAGGCAGGTAGGGGAGGAGCGAGGCGCCACCGGCCCACCGCACGCGGGGCCACACGTACACCACCCCCTGCGCGCGCGTTCGCGCCCGTGTGCGCGCCGCGCGGTTAGTCACACGGTGTGACGGCCGCGGCCCGCGGGGAGCCTTGGGGGACGATGCGTTTGACGAGAGTTTTTGGCGGAAACGGCTTTGTGGGCGGCGGGGATCCGCGTCGCTTTTGCGCGGTTTTAGTCAGGGCCGGCGCGGGGAGCCGGTAACGGCTTGAGAAGAGTTTTTGGCGTAAACGGCTAGGGCGCTAGGCGGCGAGCCCGATCACGGTGCGGGGAAGCCGGGGATATGAGAATACGGTTCGTTGGCGGTAAGGATAAAATCGGGTAGTAGTACGGTCGGTATCTCTGTTTTGGGGAAAAGGATTACCAACCATTTTAAAAGAACGTAGCTTATAAATCTTAAATTTTTATTCATGATTAACAAAATTCACATATAGTTCTTGCGCTCGTCAAACATTTGTCGCAGGATTTTAAAGTTAAAACAACATGATTCTAAAGTTAAAATAATAAAGAGGATATGTCGTCGTCCCAAGTTATAAATTTGAACTTGAAGTCTTAAAATAGACTCACCAAAATTAGCACCCGATCATTCAGTTGATTAGATCTTTGCACATATCAGTGCCGACAATTATACTTCCTCCGTCCCAGTAAACGTGACGTTTTAAGGTTAGAAACCAAAATTAACTGAGGTGTAAAATGACCAAATTGTCCGCCATGATTTGATTGAGCTATCATTTTCAGCATTTGTTAGTGCACCCAGATTATCATTTCCAGAAGTTTCCTGATTGCTAATGAAACCACAACTCCGTGCCACGTGCCTCTGTAGATTGGTCCCACCTCTATAGATTGGTTTGAAGTAGTAGTGCAGAAGCAGCATAACGACATGTTTACTGGGACATGGATAGATCGGTAGAATGACATATTTACTGGGACGGAGGAAAATATAGGGTTGGTGGAACTGAATTGCAAATTAATATCCCTGTTTTCATCACGAATGGAGAACTACACACTGTCGCTGACAAGACATAGGGGTCAAACACGCAACACACAAAACTAACAACAACAAGAGATGTTATTGTGTTGGCATCGTCGTTGTCCTGCTTCAATCACCACCACTATCGATGCCAATCACGACGATGATTTCGAATAATCCACGACCGATAGCTCAAGGTGAAACTGTCTCAACGATGTCGTAGAGGAGCTCGAGCGATGTGGGAACAAGCAGCACCGCTGGCTCCACTCTCAACGTCGCGGTGCAGGGGCGGCAAGCAGACACCACTCTGAATGTTGTGCTTGGCATCACTATTGCAACTCCATGGTCCCACGAGGAGGAAAAGAGCTGGGGGAGGAAGCTGCTGCGCCATAAAAAGGAAAGCACCCCGACATCTGTAGCAAGAAGATCGAAGGCAGAAGGTGGATGCGAGAAGAGTCCTCCACATGATCAAAAATCACGGTCATGACTTTTCCATCAACTATTCAATAAATATTGAGGAAAAGTTAAGCAGATGCTATGTGAAAACCCATAAATGGTGATCCCCCCTATCAATCATGCTTATAAGTGGCAGGACAGACAAAAACTTTTACCATATTCAATCTTATACTTTTAGCGAATAGCTTCATACATGTATACATATATAGTATCGAATATTCATTTTTCTCTCCCTTATATTTAATGTAAGCCGTCAGGAGCCATATACGGAGCTAGCTAGTGGTACCGCGAGTCATGGATCACATTAGAATTTCATTCAAGGTTAAAGCTCGATATGTTGTCTAAAATCATAAAAACTTATATACGAGCCACCTTTTGATCTGACCCATTATATTTTGATGGCCGAGCGTTCCCATGTTATTATACACGGGGTCATTGGACATGGGTATTTTTAAATTGTTTGTCTAAATTAACTACATTAATATTTCAGAATTAGAATATTATATATGTTATGATACACAATCTTGTAATTTTATTCTGGGTTGGTCAATATAAACTACGGGATAGGTGGATGATCGGGAAATAGGCCTTGTTTAGATTCTAACTTTTTTCTTCAAACTTTCGACTTATCCGTCCCATCGAACTTTCCTACACACACAAACTTACAACTTTTACATCACATTGTTCTAATTCGTTCAAACTTTCAATTTTAGCGTGGAGGGCGGATCCAGAAAAAAAAATGGGGAGACTCAACTACACAGTTTTTTCAACCTCCAGCCATTTAGGGACCTTTAGTTTATCATTTATGATGAAAAAAATTGAATGAGGTGTTTCGGGAGGTATTTATGGGTCCCGTGGGATCCGCCCAGTGAAACTAAACACAGCCATCGTACACCCATCTCATTTATACGACCAGCTGTCAGCACAGTGAGCGTCGCACGGTTTAGTCACGGTCACGGCGCGGGGTAGGCCGGGCCCCGGGGAACGAAACGCGCCGGGTTTGACAAGAGTTTCTCGCGGAAACGGCTCGTTGGCGGCGGTGGCCGGTGGGACGGATCCGCACGGCGCAAATCGCGCGTCGCGTGTGCCGTGCCGTGCGCGAGCCTAGCCTAGCCTTCTCGGCTAGGTGGGCCTGGCCCGCGCGAGGGGGGTTTCGTAGCGTACGTACTCCGTCCGTCCTCGGCCGTGGTACCACCGGGCGGGCCGGGGCCGCGGCGGCTTAACCTGGGGAAGCGCTAGTAGTAGAAGCCGCTTGGCAAGTTGCGCGCCGCTGCCGGGGGCGCAACACGCGGCCGCTGGCCCGGGCGAACTGTTTGGTGGGGGATCCTCTCTGCCAGAGAAGACGAGCCCGTTTTGTTTGTTTCTTCCGGCCTCCGTGTGGTACATCCGTACATACTACCGCATGTGTACAGAAACTGACTGCTAATGCATGGCACGACAATTTACAGTACTGTACTAGTACTAATCCATGGGATTTGCCAGTTCTCAAGCACGGCTGTTTTTTTAGTACTAGCTGGCATCGATTGGTTTCTTCCGTGTTCCTTTCGTAACAAGGGAGTTCTTCTTAGATAGGTTGTCGATACCACCGGCAACATTACATCAACAATACCAGTATAAAAATCTTATCTTAGTTGCTGTATTGGATTCGATTTAATTCTGCAATTTGGATCTAGTATATCCGCAGTTTGATATCGAAGAATTCTGTTTGTGTAAAAAAAGAAAAGAAAAGAAGAATTCTGTGTAGAAACATTCAGGAAACCTACTCCTACTCCCCATCTGTGATGTGCACAAACGATCCGCGCCGAAGGCCCAGCATCGGGAGGCGGAGATCTATCAGGCGGTCAAGCTCTGCTGTACCCCGCCACGCCGCTCCCTCGCAGTCACCGCCTTGAGCAGTTCCCCCCGCTGCCAGGTGGGCCCCACCTAACAGCAGGCCCCACGTGTCACCGACCCGCCTCCCACGTTAAAGCCTCCCCCACAGCCCACAATCGCCGCTCCCCCGCACCGCTTCCTGCCACGTCACCCCCTCGCCCCCGAAATTATTATTTTCCTCCCTTTTACGACCTCGTTTCTTAAAGCGTCCTTCCGTTCGCTATCTCTTCTTCTCCTCTTCTCTCCCCTTCTCTCTCTTGGTTTCTCTCTCTAGCCATCGGCTGCCTCTCTCTCTCTCTCTCTCCTCGCTGCCCCATAGGTGGACGCGGGTCAACGGGCCGGTCGCCGGCGGCGGCGGCTGCGGCGGCGAGAGGAGGTAGAAGCTCCGGCGATCGCGAGGGCAGGCGGCGGGTTGGTGCGCTGCCGGCTTCGAGTTCGAGCGGGCGGGCCATGGGGAGGAACGGGAGCGTCAAGCGTACGTCGTCGTCGGGGGCGGCGGCGGCGTTCACGGCGAATCCCCGCGACTACCAGCTCATGGAGGAGGTCGGGTACGGGGCGCACGCCGTCGTGTACCGCGCGCTGTTCGTCCCCAGGAACGACGTCGTGGCTGTCAAGTGCCTGGATCTCGATCAGCTCAACAACAACATCGTGAGCATCTGCTGCATCGCCCCCTGTGCTTCCTTGCTTTTGTACGGTTTCGGGATTGTAGGTATTGTTTGCTGTTTGATCTAGCGAGAGATCCGTAGGTAGATTGGAGTATCTACTACTGATTTGGTAGTTTCGAAGATGAGGATGGAATTTTAGTTCGAATGACATCCTATCAGGCTCTGATGCTTCGGTGTTTGCTTTTGGATTACGATGTTAGCTACTTAGCATTTACTGTATTTGGTACTGCGGTAGTAGATGCTGCTAAGTCAGGTTAAGCTCAAATGCTGTCCTGTGCATGTTTGTGTTTCTAGATTATTTCGGCGCGGTTACTCTTGCAAGTGAAATTGCTGGTGAGATTTTGAGTTGAAAATTTTAGTCGATCACTTAGGGGGAGAATCTTTTTTAGTCATAAACTGGACGAGATGAGTTGCATGTTGTGGGACATCATGGCTCACTGGCTACAAACCTGGGTTGTTGGGGTGAGTTGATTTTGCATGTGTCAGTTCGGGTCTGCATAGGCAGGGATGCAGTTTATGCTGATACTTCAGTACATATCTGCACAAGCATCTTTGTGTATATATTTCTGTGTATGTGGATGGTGGGCATAACATTGGGGACAATGAATTCTACAAGACGTCACCTAGTGCTACATGTACCTTAGGAAGTTCACAAGATAAGGTTTGCCTTGTGTGGTCCTTATCCTTGGGGACTTTGAGGGAGAGGGGAGGGGGGGTGGCATCTGCATTCTGTTGGTATCATCAGTATACCAGCATGTATTGCGGTATCGGTAAAGCAATTGATATTATACCAGACTAATAAAGCAACTATAGTACCAGGTCAACCGAGTTTCAAACAATACCTCTTATATTTATGCCATGGACTTCTACTTCTAGCCATTTGTTAGGATGGATTTACCTATCACTTTTTTATTAAAAGAAAGATGCGAAAACCTTTCTTGGAGTAAACAGTGTGGCATTTATCATCACTGTTGATATGTCTGACTTTCGTTTCTCATTTCCCCTTCCTGAAGCTATAAATAAATTTATTTCTTATAGTTGTGCACCATTTGTAGGATGAAATCCAACGGGAGGCTCAAATCATGAGCTTGATAGAGCATCCTAATGTCATCAGGGCTTACTGCTCATTTGTTGTTGAGCACAGCCTTTGGGTAGTAATGCCATTTATGACTGAGGGTTCATGTCTGCACCTAATGAAGATTGCATATCCTGATGGTTTCGAGGAACCTGTTATTGGCTCTATTCTAAAGGAAACACTTAAGGCTTTGGAGTACCTTCACAGGCAAGGACAAATCCATCGTGATGTCAAGGTTAGCTTCTGTCAAATATTGTAATCATCTGATTTGATGTTATTTACTTCAATTTATCTTTGCTCAATGTGACACTTGGCAGGCCGGCAATATCCTTGTTGATAATGCTGGTATAGTGAAGCTTGGGGACTTCGGCGTGTCTGCTTGTATGTTTGATAGAGGTGATCGACAAAGATCTAGGAACACATTTGTGGGAACACCGTGTTGGTAAGAACCATTTTTTTCTTCTAATGAAATTAAATAAACATTATGGAACTTGAGAATGCTGACTTGTTTTGTGGCTCTAATTTTGCTTTTAGGATGGCTCCAGAAGTGCTCCAGCCAGGCACTGGATATAACTTCAAGTATGTTTACATTGAATTATACATGGCATATGACTTGTGTGTATATTTACATCGAATTATACATGCCTCAATGCAATCCTGAATGTAAATGAAGCATATTCTTTGTTAGATTTGGTGCAAAAAATACAGCCATCACATTTTCCACGAATAGATTTTATACATGGCATACTTGCATTTGTATTATTCCGTGTATGCGTTTTTTTTTTCATTCATTGTTCTTGTTAACCATCATCAGCATGTTAGAACAAAAAATAAAGTATGATAGAACCAGTAATGTCCACCCTGGTTTACATGATTGCATTGCATTTTGTCATATTTTTAGGTAAGCCAGGAGCTTTTCTTTTCCATTAGGAATACAATGCAGAATAGAAAGAGGATAATATGGTGGCAATAGTGTCGGATGTCAGATCATGTCACACTTAATTTAAGTTCGCTAATGTATTCCTGGGCACACATTTATCTTCTATATACATATTTCACAATGATGCTATGCTTGCTTTTGGAAAAGTAATTTTTGACAAAATCTATACTTGCTGAATGGATGCAATCTGCTCACAGTGAGAGAATACATGATGTCATGACACTTAAAAAGATGATAACTTCTGATAATTTATATTTTTCGCACTGCATTTGATGAATTGCCAGCACTCCAATGTTTTCTCTTTGCTGTGTATATCGTCAGTTGCTAACAAAGATGGACTTACAACCTTCCTCTTTGTGCTAATAAAGATGGACTTACGATCAGTCTATTTATGCAGAGCTGACATATGGTCATTTGGAATCACTGCACTTGAACTTGCCCATGGCCATGCACCGTTTTCAAAGTATCCCCCTATGAAGGTAGTGATTTAATGTTGTTCAAGTAAAAGTAGTTATTTATCTACGTGAAATTTTTCTGATGGATGTTTGCTCATATTTATGGCTAGATTTGGTAAATCAGTAAATGTTATAATAATATTTTCTGTTCTTCCCTCTCTTCTTTCATTTGGTGAACTAACTAAATATTTCATAGATTGGAGTCACCAACTTATGTCAATATGCTTTCCATGATCTTTTACTATTACCTATGTAGTCTTCCTCTCATATATTTGAGCCCATAATTTGTTTAGTTAATCGCAATGATCCTCAATGGCATGTGAGATCATCTGGTGGTTCTGATAGTTTTGCCACTGTATTGGGCAAGATAATTGAGTCTATGGAATCATCATATTTATTCACTTTACTTCCTTTTGGCTGCAGGTTCTTCTCATGACCCTCCAGAATGCTCCACCTGGTCTCGACTATGATCGAGACCGAAGATTCTCAAAGGTAGTATCCATTCATCTAAATATTGACCATGAAGTTTGTCATTGTTTTCAACTACTACAAATTATATTATAGAATTTACCTTTCTAATTAAGCATATTTTGTGATCAGTCATTTAAGGAGATGGTTGCAATGTGCTTGGTAAAAGATCAAACAAAGAGACCAACAGCTGAGAAGTTGCTAAAGCATTCATTTTTCAAAAATGCAAAACCTCCAGAATTGACAATGAAGGGTATCTTAACTGATTTACCTCCTCTATGGGACCGTGTAAAGGCTCTCCAGGTATACTTCTATACTAAGTTGTCCCCCTTTTTCCCCTTGATTTTTAAAATAGCAGATGTCTTTACGCCTCTGTGTATTTACAGCTTAAAGATGCAGCACAGTTGGCCTTGAAGAAAATGCCTTCTTCTGAGCAGGAGGCACTCTCCATGGTTTGTGACATGCAACTTAATGATTATGTTGTTTTATGCTTAAGATATCTTTTCATTTTGATCATTCAAACAGTCCGTCATTTGTGTGTGTTTAGAACATGTTAGGTTGTAGAAGTGGCCCTAAAAGCACCCATTATTTTAATTGTACAGACTGCAATGCATGCTTATGAAAGAAACTCTAGAAAACTGTACAATTGTATTTTGAAAAAGGAGGAGACGAGTTCTTTGATATGCATAATTTAGTTAAAAGCACCTAGTAGGCATAAATGGATTAATCAACACAGAATTGTTATAGATGTTTTGCAACAGAGGTGCTTTTTTCATGAATCATGACAACTTTGGTGGGAACTGCATTTTTTTAGTCACCTTCTGTTTTAAAAATTGTCCATGGATAATTTTGCAAGGATATATTAGAAATAAAAAAGCATAAATCATTTGAGAAGAATATAATTTACAGTAAATTTCACAAAGCTGCATTTATTTGGCTGTAACTATCACTTTGCTGCAACTTTAGCTGGTATTTCATGAAACTACAACATTAGCAAACGATTTTATCATAAAACTGCAACTTTACCTCCAACATATGATGACATATGGGCCCAACTTGCAACATTATGAGCATTGCATATGTGTATAGCAGGTGGGACCAAACTTTTCAGATGAAGTTGCAGCTTTCTGGTAAAATCATACACTATTGTTGCAGCCATCTGAAATACCTGGCTAAAGCTGCAGCAAACTGATTTTTTTTTAACAAAATAGTTGCACCTTTATGAAATATACTCTCTATCATTTAACAAGTGAACTATCTAACAGAGTGAATACCAACGAGGTGTTAGTGCATGGAACTTCGATGTTGAAGATCTCAAGGCCCAAGCATCACTAGTATGCTACTATGCTTATTCTTTCTATGCCAGCTTATTTTTCCATTCTACCTTATCTGCATGTAACTTATTCCTAAGTTGACTGACTTTATAGATTCGTGATGATGAACCCCCTGAAATAAAAGAAGACGATGATACTGCAAGAACCATTGAAGTTGAAAAGGTTGCACATATTCTTGCTTACCTTTGTTTTTCATGGGAAATTTTGTTGGCAGCCTGCGCTACAAAGCTTCCAAGTTCTGAATATAGCCAGAGTCACTTTGGCGACCCTGGGCAGCAGCCCAGGCTTGTTGGCAAATAGGCAGTATAATTTTTATATTATTATAATGATTGAAAATAGAATTATCGTAGCAAATACTAAACGTAGTTAGATTTGCCAGCTCAAAATTTGTTGGCTCCACCACGGGCCATGGTACTACAGTTTCGAATAAGTATCAGCTAGGCTATCCAACTGAAGCTGTTTAGCATGACCACACAGTGGGCTTACTACATGCATCTGGGTGAAAAGGCTTGTGTAACATTAATTCGTTCAAATCTAGACTGATCTTGTGCTCAGGGAACCTGAGGAATGTATACCTTGTATTAGTTTTGTAGCGCACTTATATGGAGCCATATAATTTCCTTTCTTTAAGTTGTTAATTTAATTAACACAAAAAAAAACGTGTTGGGTAATTCTGATTTGCAGTCACTTTTTGTTCAAACCTCAGGATTCATTTTCTAGGAATCATTTGGGGAAGTCGTCGAGTACAATTGAAAATTTCTTCAGGTTAAGCCATTCTTTTATCTCTCTTAGTGAAATATATTTAGAGCTGCTCATTTTATATCTCCATATTTGCAAATCTGTGTATTACTACAGAGTGCTGATCCAATTCTTGAACTAATGGGGATATTAGAAATATAATAGTTCTCTAGCCTTTCTGCTGTTATAAACTTACGTAGTTTTTATTATTATTATTTTTGTTAAAGCATCTTTAGTGAAATGTAGCCTTCTGTTATTTCAGTGGACGGACCTCTACCACTGCAGCAAATTCGGATGGAAAAGGCGATTTTTCATTTGAAGCTTTTGATTTTGGTGAAAACAACGTTGATACTAAAATTATGCCCAATGGGTATGAAAACGCTAGATCAGAGAATAGCTCATCACCCTCTACATCAAAGCAAGATCCAGAGTCAAAATATTGGAGAAGTACTTCTGGACAGAAACAACAAACTTCTGGCACTCCAGCTGTCCATTCTGGTGGGGTTAATAGCTCAACAACTGAAAAGGGCCATGGTGTTGAAAGGTCTGTTATCTGTTTAACAATTTTTCCAGCATGCTATTGTTCGGAATTGTGATTGATTAAGAGTACCTTTTTCATTTTGATTCATCTAGGCAGTAGCTCAGCAAGTGAATGGGAATTACAGTTTTTGGAGGAATCATTCAACTTTTTCTTGTTTACTTTGCACTCTTTTTTTTTTTTGGTGGGGGGGGGGGGTCAGTGTTGGTATGCGATCATAGCCATCATCCAAGTTATATAGCTTTACAAATTTGGCATGTTTCTCATTAATTCACAACAAATAAAGAGCAAATAACGTCTTACCTTGTCCTCTTTTCAATAATCACAACTGCTTAATTCTTCTGATTATTTGTTTACCATGGGATAGTAGCTTTTTTCTCTTCGCTTTTTTTTTATTAATCTGGCTCATCATTACTTGTTTATGGCCTCACTAGACTTTTCTTCTTGAAAATGCTGCAACATGATAAGTTGTTTGCTGGCATTTCCTTGTGCTCTTCCAAGGTTCATTTAATTATTATATTGGTTATGACAGGGATGCAACTGTTCAATTGGCATCTGATAAACTTAGGACTGAAACGAGAAGAGCAACAAATCTTAGTGGTCCATTGTCACTGCCAACTCGTGCTTCTGCAAACAGTCTGTCAGCTCCTATTCGATCTTCAGGAGGTACAAGTCGTATACTCCCTCTATCCCAATTTGATCATCCCCTAAACAAAGAGCACCAAAACCAAGGACACCAAAACATCCATCATCTAAAATTTATCCTCATTGATTAAAGTGCTTTGCCCCTTCACGTCCAACAGAAATTATTTCACACTTTAAATGTTGCATGGGTTGAACGAATAGAAACTAATCTTGGTTGGCTGCATGCATGCAGTGCATTGCATGATGCACATTTACTCTTTGCACAAATAAACAAAGAAACAATTTGTTAGATGATGATCATTTTGCGAAAACCTCAAAAATCCTACATGATGATCAAATTGGGATGGAGGGAGTATTATCTTGTGGCAAACATCCATTGTTTTCACTAGCATTACTGTTGAACAGCAACATATGGAAAGGATTTTCTTTCTTTATCCTGTTTAGATATGACTTTGAACATCTGGTTGATATTCTTTCAATCATTGTAGGATATGTAGATTCTTTGGGCGACAAGTCTAAACGTAACGTGGTGGAGATTAAAGGACGGTTTTCCGTGACATCTGAGAATGTTGATCTTGCTAAGGTGAGTGCAATGGCTGGGTGCATTTCTAATTAAATTAAAGTAATCTAAACAGATTAGAATTACATCATGTGGACAAAAATGAATAATTTATTACTTTCCAGGTTCAGGAAGTTCCATTGAGTAGCCTCTCCCGCAAATCACCACAGGTGAGATTTGTAGTACTAATATTACGGTCATTTTTTATCTAGCACATAGTTACAACCCATGTTAATTGATTACACTTCATTCATTACAGCCCACGCTAATTGATTTATACTTGTTTTTTCAGGCTTCACCACTAAAAAAATCTGCTAGCGTTGGTGATTGGTTGGTGAACACTAAGCCAATGGTATAAATCTTTTTTCACATGATTGTATAAAACCCATGAAAATAATTTTCTTTCTGGAAAGTATGTTACTTCCTGAAATGGGAATTACCATTGGATCAAATCTACCTACTTTTACTCTTTTGCCATTTTTGTCAGAGCTGACCTGATTTTTCTAAAATTCATATATGCTGCAGTCTAACAGTCATCATGTGAAGGAACTCTGCAATAGCTCCGTATCATCATCAATTTTAATTCCCCACCTTGAGAACCTTGTGAAACAAACTATGTTTCAGCAGGTATGGAGGGAACTTACCACACTATGTTTGAGAATGTATAGGACATTATGGTAAAGTGATAAATTATCTACTTCCTCCGTTTCACAATGTAAGTCATTCTAGCATTTCCCACATTCATATTGATGTTAATAAATCTAGGTAGATATATATGTCTAGATTCATTAACATCAATATGAATGTTGAAAATGCTAGAATGACTTACATTGTGAAACGGAGGGAGTATCTGATAGATTTCTAAGTAACACTTTTACTATTTCATTGCCTCAGGATCTGATAATGAATGTGTTAAGTAGCTTGCAACAGAATGAGAAAGTTGATGGTAAATATTTCTACCCTATCGTTATTGAAGTTGCCTGATTTCTGTTGGCTAAAAGCCATAATTCTTTCTTCTTGTCAGGAGTATTGTCTGGAATATCCCCACAACTCCGAAATACGGATAGTGACACAATGGTAAGCATGTTTTTGAGTACTGATGTGAGTTGGCCCTTTCCCAATTACAGCACTTCCTCTAAAAGTCTTGTGTAACTAAAAATGTCTGTTTGTTCTTTGGCAGGTTGGATCAGTTAATTCTGAAAAAGAACGGTCGTTACTTGTTAAAATTTCAGAATTGCAATCTAGGTAGGCCTTCTGCGGATCTGTCAGCTATTTTACAATAATCCCACCATCAAATCACTGCTACAATTTCCTATTTATAAGTTCACGACCCACATATTGCCAGTATAGTGACAATCATGTTCAAGTTTGGCTACTCCAGTTGGGTAGCTAAACTTGTTTGAGCTGCAGTTTTATCAGTTGCCTCCTTGTCATGTCTGTTTAATTTGATTCTTCAATAATGCTACAAGTTATCTTTATTTTGAATATACATATGGACTGCACATATCATTTATGGCCTTTTAATATTTTTAATATTGTTTTTATCTTACAAGGTATGCTGTAGCTGTATGGCTTTGATTACTGAATGATCAAACTTACCCTTTTTTCCCCTTTCCTGCAGAATGATTACTTTGACTGATGAACTGATTGCAGCTAAGCTAAAGCATGTACAGGTCAGTGTTGATATTTCCTTATATAGTTGATTACGTTATATTCATGCTGTTAAGCAGCTGCAATCACGGGCCCTCTTGGCCAGTTCTTCCACAATTCATGTCGGCAGTTAGACAAATTATTCATAGTGTTTTGTTCCACATCATTTCAGTTGCAGCAAGAGTTAAATGCATTGTACTGCCGAGAAGAAATAGAAGACATTAGGGATGATGACAACGAAGAAACATGAAGAAACATAACGCCAGACATTCGACTGATATGAATTGCCTGCCCTGGCTTGCATCGATTGCTTCGCTAACTGCCAGTGAAGATGAGTTTAACAAGAGAACCTCATCAACCTGCACTTCCTGAATCATAAAATTGGTAGAATTCGCAGAAGCCAGCTCATGCAGGTGCTCTAAGAAAATTCGTTCTGGGAAGGTTGACATGCCCTGGCCTGGTGCCATCAGTGTGTATATTAGTTTTTTGTTAAGCTTTCTTTTCCATTTATTTTTTCAATGGTGTTTTGGTGGTCATGAAATTATGGTGCCGTGTATTTTACAGCTTCGGCCACAACTATCATTGAAATAGCTGTGATTATGTAGATCCTAGGGCGACCCGTTGGTTCTCATAGCAGAAAAGACAGCCTAATAAAATGTATTTTTTTTCTACCTGCTCTGGTTATTCTTTTATTCTTGTTTCAAATATGGCGACTTGAAAACTCCAGAACAGTTTGCATATCAATGGATCGTATTTATGAATAATGATTTAGATTTGGGAGTTTTTTCCTGGGTTTTTCTTTCATTCTTTCGATGTGTCTTACATCCTGATGTTTCTTAAGAACCAATTGTGTTCGGAAAAACATCATATGTTACCTAATTGCAAGTGTTTGGTCACGAGGTGAGAACATTTTCCATTTTTTTCGTTCTGCAGCATGGACCATAAGAGATAAGAGTACATAATCCATGTTCGGAAAAGGTCTTCATAGTCTCTATATTACAACTTACAAGGTAAAAAAGTCTGGACGTGAACATGTTTTGAAACTCATCCTTGCTAATAAAATTGGCGGTGTTCCTGTCTCTCTTTGGAGCAAATTACACGGAAAAATACAGAAAAAGCTGCAGCTACAACAACCATTACCAAACCGGGGACATTACATTTGAACTCAGCATTTTGGACTGTCATGGACCTCCTACCAAGCTACCGCTAATCTAATTATTGGTATTTTTCATCTGCTAACTTCCTTACTCATTGTAGCTGCTTTGATGGGGGACATGGAAGGATTGAAATAACAAGAGGTAATGTGAATCAGCTAAGGTTGCCTTTTTCAAGCAAGTAAACTAGTAGCTTCGCCTACCTTACTGTGTTGTAGACATCTTGAACAGTAAGGATCAACTTAGGCTTAAGCTAGAGCTGCTCCTTCTATCATATCGGATTCTAGTAAAGAGATAGCCCTTCTCGTCTGATCTGCATAAACAGGAATGCGGGAAAAGCATCTTCTGGCCCCAGAGTCCCTAGCAGCCTTAAGTCCGTAAGCTACTTCCTTTAGTTGAACTGGTAGCTTTATAGGTCAATTGAATCTCAGCTAGTTTCTTCTTACTCCTTTTGTTCTCAACTGTCATGGACCTCCTACCAAGCTACCCCTAATCTAATTATTGGTCTTTTTCATCTCCCATAGTTGACTTGCTAGTACCTTCACCAGCCACATTTGTTGAATCACGATTCTGGTTGCGTATCTTTTCTGAATACTTGGCAAAGGCTTCAGTAAGGGCTGATCTTACATTAGAACTCTTCTTGTTCACGGATGCGTCTGGCTTCTCCACAGCATCCTGTGCACCATCATTTGTCGATGAAGGTTGGCCTGACGCCTTCTCTCTGTCAGGAGTGTCAGGCACTACAATGTTTGGGCGGCTGGAAACCCGTTTGAATGGCTCGTGGAAAGTGTCATGAAGTCGTTTTACCTATAATAATTGAATAATGTCTAACATTAATTGAACAAAACATGACAAAGGACACCAACATTGAATGAAGGATAACGGCGAAGCAATATAAACAAGACTACAAGAAGTGTGCTTCCATAGTTTCTCTCCAAAGGAATAACCAACATGTAGGTCACAAAGAAATATTTCCAATGAATGATAACAACAGAAAACTGAGATCTAAAAGGTAGTACCTTCCGCTCACCAATTCCTGGGCATCGAGCTAGTTCTTCCATAGAAGCATTCATAACTTGTGAAAGTGACTGTAAATATATGAACAAAGGCACATTTAGCTTATATCGTGCATCTTCTGTGGGGAGCCCTATTTTTTCAGTCTCGCAAAATAGAACTTGCTACCAAACAAGTATACTATACAATGTAAGCATGCCATATTAGGGCATCTTCATCCAGCTTACCCCAAAAGATGAGCCAAGCGTCACAACATCTGTCTTGTTAACATGCCGAATGGATGTAAGAGCATGCGTCAACTGCAAAACCATATCCAAAACTTAAAATGAGCAGTATCAATTAAATGATCACCATCTATATAGAGATTAATCATAACAGAACAGTCAAACAATTGAGTTAGTTGTGGGGAAAATTTTCTGATAACTTATCCATAGTAGCTCAACGCTTCACCAATTGTTCAAAATGAGATAGTCAGATGTACTCCATAGTATCTAGTTTGAAGTTGAGTGAGTACATGCATACCCTTGATAAATAGTCATTATCCATATGTTCACGAATGCTGTCAGCTGACTTGTTTTCGTACACTTTAATGGTCTCCAAGTACCGACCACACTCCTCCAGGCTATAGGAGAAAGTAGTGTGATCACATAACATGTTCATAAACATTGGCATCCATATGAGTACATTATTGTTAGTTCGTTAATACAAAATTCTCCAATTCACATGATGAAAGAGCCATTAGAGCCTATTTTTCAATAGCTAACTCATGTGCGCATCTATTCCTGAATTTAAAATTTCTAGATAAAATGTTTGACAAGCGGTCCCATTGAGTCATACAAAATCCTGGTTCTTCAGAGACAATATAGAACAATGAACAAGACATGGTGATCTAGAAAATCATTCAAAATTACAGTGAACTGACAGAACAGTATATAAGTACTCCAAATTGAGCGAAAGAGAAAGAAAAAAAAAAACGTTACAGAGTATTACCTCCATCCACACAAGAGGGTGCAGTCATGTAGCAGTGATGTTCTTGTAACTTCATGTAAAGGTTTGACGACATCTTCCTAAGCAATAAATTCATAAACGTTAAGATCACTAAACTTCTTTTGCACATTTCTCCAAAAGCATGTCCACGGATAAATCAAGATTGTCAAGTGATTGAAACTTACAACATCAATATGGCACAAAATGACGCGGAGCTTGAAATTCTTCTGCAACTCTCTTATCCGATAATACAAGTAGTCAGGGTGTAGAAGATGGTACCGGAGACTGAATCCACCACAGCACAAAACACATAGTAAGAATCAAGAAATGCCATGGTCTCATGCATAATTATTGCGCGGCATAGCTCCTTTCCCTGAGAAGGTTTAAGGAGTAGCTATGATTACAGTTCACAGTGCAACAGACTAGAGTCTAGAGCTACAACATTGAATATTTTTTTTCAACAAAGTTTATGCTGCGCGCATTCATCTACTCGTCTTCCCTGGCAGCAAAAGAGGCAATCGACAAATGCTTCCCTTAGAAACACATACTAATCTAATGTCACTCTCTGTTCGAATTATTGCCACACAGATATACTCACAGGAGCAAAGCTAGAGAGGGGGGAAGTTAAAAACCTTATGTACAGTGCGCATGACGATTGCCCGAGCACGTAGTCCGGCACTATATCGGCGTACGTCCACCTCGCGTTCCTGATGTGCTTCAGTAAGGGATTCCCTTTCTGCCCAAAAGGCACGAAATTCCCCACAGAAAGTGGGGAAAATCAATCTCCAAACAAGAAAAATAAAAGAGAGCCGATTCAAGGTGCGATGGCAATAATCGCATACGGTTACCTGCCTATGGCTCACAAGAATGGCGTTCTTTGGCGCCTGAGCAGCTGAGCTAGCCTGAGGCGGTCTGCGGGAAGAAACCGAACTCAGAATCAGGAGGCGAGGCGTCACAGAAAGAAATCGAGGGAGATAAGAGGAGAGTACCTTGGGGTGGTCGTCTGTGGTGGCGGCGGTGGCGGGGAGTAGAACTCGGTGGATTTGAGGAAGGAGAAGGCCTGCGAAAACGACGACGAGGAGGAGGAGGAGGAGGCGGCGGTGGTGGGTGGAGGGTTGTAGGAGGGCGGCGCGGCGGAGGATGAGGCGCCACTCCCGAACACCTCCTGGTAGGAAGGGATCTTGATGAGGTTCTTCCCGGGCTCCGGCTGCCGCCGCCGCCGCCCCGCGTGCTGCGGCTCCTCCCACTGCCCATCCATGGCGCCACCGCCACCCTCTCTCAGCTTTGCCGCCGCGACGACCCGCAAGCCGCGGACTCGGAGGGGGTGGAGCCTTCGTGGACTGGACTGGACTGGAATTCCAATTAGATGGGCCCTGTTCAGGCCCATGGATCCGAAACGTCACGGGCCTCTCGTAGTTGGATGCAAGTTGGGCCCTCCAGAACAGAAGTCCAGATTAGCACAAAACCTGGTTGGGTCTCAACCGTTTGGTCACCAAAATGGATTGCCAGAATTACATGCACTCCTTAAGCAGAGTGATTGTGTGTTGATGATTAAAATTGACGGGTATCCTTGTTTGTTACTACTACTTGGAGCGAAATGATTTTCGATTTCAACAGAGTACTACTCCGTTTTTTTTTAAAAAAAAAAAAGATACAGCCGATTTGAAAGTATGTTAGGTGAGCTGCCGAGCCCCAGGCATCCTGTCTTCCGGTAGCCTGGAGAGTTAACAAATGGCAAGTCTTCTAACGCCAGCGGCCAGCTACGTAGTCGACGGCGACGACGGGGTACTCAGGATCGGTGTGGGCGATGGATGGTTCAACAACTAGTGTACGCAACTACGTAGCGCATGCGTGCACTTGGGCAGTTGGACACACAACATGATAATGTACCGGAAATATTCCCGGTGGATATGCCGCGTATCAGTGTCGACGGCGTACGTACGTCTGGGAGCATTGTTTATCACCACCCACCGTCCTCGTGTCTCCAAAGTCCAAACCATCCAGCAGAGGGTTGCTGTGTCGTGTCGTGTGTCACCGAGTACTTAGTAGTACTAGCACGCACTACTTATGAGGTTATGCCATATAGGAGTACTGTATATCCGTGCACACAGTACTATTCTTTGTAGACGAAATGAATCAACCACCACCTGCGTATACGATTTGCCTAATTTGTTTCCTGTTCCCGACTTGCTCCGATGCTTTAGCAGTAACATAGCTTGTCGATGGCATAGCATATATATCTAGTTATAAAAAAAAAGCATAGCATATATATCTCCCGACAATATGGGAATAAAATCACTCGCGCGCACGTAACAACACCATGTCACCATCCATCATCAAGGACCACCACGTATCGTACGTAGTGCGAAACGGCACCGCAACGACTCAGCTCACGGCTGGAGTGGACCGCACCCGCGCGGTGTGACCCCTGCACTGCATGTCTGCAACGGCGCCAAGACGAAGCTAAAACGGAATGGAGTATGAAATACAGAAGGTGTAACTTACTTAATTTATTTTATTTTAAATTGAGTTTAAACTTATAAGTTTGTATTAAAAAGATGCACACATGATGAAAATAGATACGAGCTATATAAGCCTATAACTATAAATTTTTTATCGGATTCCTGAGCAACCTTCATATATTTTAGCTCCGCCCTGAAGGAAAGTATCAGCTCAGCTGCATCAAGCTATCACTCCGTTCAAAAAAAAAAAAACTTCTAAAATCAAATTTGGACAATCATTTGTTCAAAGGTCGTTCACAGAAATTAATATATATTTTTTTGGAAGGACCGAGCACCGGCGCGCCTACGATGCAGCCCGACGTCCCATGACGCGCATCGCCACTCACTCGCCAACGGTAGGCGGAGGCGCAGAGCCGCGCGGATCGTCAGAAAAACGGGGACGTCTCGTGTCGAATTTCCGGAGAAATACACGCGTGACGCGAGCCTGGGGCCTCAGGCCTCAGGCCAGCACGCGTGAGGGCGTGACGCATCAGGCCAGGGAAGACGCCAAGAAAGGGCATATGATGTGAGCTATACAGGCCAGCTCGCTTAGAGCAGGTACTCCCTCTCAAAATAAGACAAATACTTATTTAAAAAAATTATGAAAAAAAATTAAAAAGTTAAGTCACACATAAAGTATTAATCATGTTTTATCATCTAACAACAATAAAAATACTAATTATAAAAAAATTTCATATAAGACGGACAGTCAAATATTGGCACGGAAACCCATGGTTTGTCTTTTTTTTAGAACAGAGGAAGTACAATATAGCCAGCTATAAATATATTTTAAGGAGATAAATGAGGTGAGAGAATAGCAGCGGGCTATAGATTTGTAGCCAGCTGTAGCACGGACTCCAAGACATAGTGTGTGTATGACAGGTGGGACCAGGTATTAATAGTGTAGTATATAACTATTGTATAAATGAACTACTAGATTGTCTATAGATAAATTTGAGCTATTAGTTAGCTATACTACTATTAAACTTGCTCTCAGTTTCATCAGGTTCCCAGAGCAAAGGAATGCAATGATGTGAGCCCGGGGCCCTGTGCTGCACTTACACCGACAAAACCATCATCCCCTTGCCTTGTGCAGTACCATCCTCTGTAAATAAATGAAATGAAATGAAATCAACAAACAACCTGTATATTTGCTTGATTCGATTATAAGATTATTGTTCTATGTTTGCTTGATTCGGTTCTTGTTCCGATGCCCTAGTACCATTTCATCCTATTGCCCTGAATGTATCGTATGGTACGCCCATGACCCGATATCTCCCGACAGTACGGGAATAAAATCGTCCAGGCCTGGACCACGTAACCGCAGTACCGCAACATCTCGCTCACCGTCATCGCGTGGAGTGGACCGCAGCGCCGTGCCGCGCGCGTGGTGACACCTCAACAGCAGCGCAGCGCCAAGGAAGGAATCAAGCCGCGACGATGATACCGCGCGCACGGTGCAGCCCAACGTCGTCGTCACTGTGGGAAGCGCGCATGACGCGCGTCATGCCGCGTCGCCACCGATCAGGGCCTGGCACCGCATGCCCCGCGCCCGGGCGCCGGATCGCGAGAAAAAAAAAACGGGGACGTCGCGTGCGATTTCCCGTGGAATCCACCGGTGGATCCCCGCGCGCGCCGTGCCGAGGGAGATAGGCGCCGTCCTGGTTCGCCTCGTTTCAGGATGCGTGACGCGTGCACAGGTCCTGTTGGAATTAATAGATGGGCTAAGGCCCATTCAAAAATTAATTTTTGGCATGCATATGGAGTTTAGTACCACTTACTTATTCTAGGAGAGGAGAACCTCCTTAAAAGGGAGGATGCCCTCCTAGCCACTTGAAGCATGTGTGGTGGAGAGAAGAGGGGAAACACACGCGCGCTCACCTCGCGTTGCCTGGCAGGCGGCGCGCGTGCACGACGTACGCGTCGAATGGTCCACAAAATTTTGGCTGCCGTGCACACGACATACACGTCGAATGGTCCGCAAAATTGGCTCCTCACCCTTGCGCAGATGCAGCCTCCTTTTGTAGTTTTGTTTTGCTGCGGGAAATTCGGATTTATTTTGTTTTGGAAACATTCCGAAAAATCCGGTGCGTGAAAATGGCAAAATCCGGTGTGTGAAAACGGCATGGAATCTGGATAGGTTACGCGCGACTTATCCGATTCAGTTACACGGAGTTGAGATCATGCGGGCGCCCTGATCAAGCGACCTATCTCTATATAAACCGAGCCGTCGCCTTCACGCAACACACGCGAAATCAATCTAGGGTTTGCCTCCTACTCTGTGCTGCGCCGTCGCTCGTAGACTACTCCATCCCGCTCGCCGGCGTGCACCGACGATCGGGAGAGCAGGTCTCCGGAACCTCTGCCTTCGACGTCCTGCACCGGAAGAAGGCGGCAATAAGGTTTTTGGGAAGCGCTTCGCGCGACTGCTCCCTGTTCGTCCGCGACGGCTCGCCTTCCTCTCCGCTCGCGTGCTTCGCGCCTTCGTCGACGCTCGCAACCGCGAGTAGTTCCTGTCGAGCAACCGGTCTTTCCGCCACCTCGGTACGTGTTCGACATGTTGCGCATATTTGATCTGTTCATGTTTTACTGCTTAGTTTACATGTGTAGATTTAATGATGTGTTCAATCTAGTTTACATCTGTAATGTTATAATTTATTTATGAAATAAATTAAATTATTATGTGTTTATAATTTCAACCGGTCCAGTCGGGGTTGCACTTGCAATGCCCGGCTGCCCGCGCAGTTTGAGGCAGCCGAGGAATGCAATGATGCGAGCCGGGGCCCTGTGTCTGTGGCCTCCTGCTGCTCACAGCCATCATCTCATCTCCGAACAAAGCTGCGGCGACCAGAGCAGAGGGAACTGTAGGAACACACGCCCGTACATTGCTGATCTCTGCAGTCAATAGTACAGTGCGGACCGTGCACAGAGATTGAACATCTTGAAAGTAAGCAGAGTCAACAAAGACCAGGCTTAAATACGCTTATCTGCATTGCAGAGCGTACAACAACCAATTTATCGGCCCCATCCTTCGGTATTTTTATAGAATAAGTCAAACGGTATATTTATAAATAAAAAATAACTTGTTAATAAAACTTTATATACATGTTTTTAGCAATCTAAAAATAAAGACTGAAAAATAAATTTTGATGAAAAACCTCTAAATTAATTTTACATTTAAAATTGAAAATTTAAATTTGAGCTGATAAGTATAAACATAAGCGAAATGATGAGGCCTAAATTTCTAGTAGTAGTAGTAGTATATTGGGGAAAAAACAACTATACATAATTGTCTCGACTATTTATGTGCGAAATAGGAAAAACTTTCTCATTTACTACCTTTGATGGTTTAGTATTTCATCAAAACAAGAACACGTATACTTTCATGAATCACATAGAAAAATCTCATAATATCTGCCTTTCACTTTCCAAGCGAGCCCAAAATTAATCCTTCTCCGACATGGGAACACCGAAGCAACAGGGAGGAGAAGATAGTGATGAGCTTAAACCAAAAGCCTAACAAAACGTGACACAAACCGGAGCACGCTGTCCCGCCGCTAAGCCACATTGTTGGCATCTTTAGCAAGCAGAAGTAGCCATCAAATCACGGACTTCGAGTTAGGACAGGAGACTTTGTTTGCTCATCATGGCAAAGGTTCCCCGAAAGGCTAGCAACGAGCTGAGTGATCTTTTCTTCTTCCTTCAAGATAAAGCCCTTCCGCCAACAACTCTTGCGTTTCACGGCAACAAACCGGCTTTGATTCCCTCAAAAAAAAAACGGCTTTGACACAGCTGCGATTAGTAATATTAGACCTGTTTCATAATGAAAGAATTTTATGGGAAATCTTGTATTTTTTATTCTTTTAGATAATTTAAATATTTTACTTTCCTGCCTCTACCA